TTATATTAGATAACGTCTCTCAAATGCGATTTTATTTGTCAATTACTAGATCCCATATTTCTACTGAATCAGGTTGGGGAAAGTTAATTTTTATGAATCAGTTATAACCATTCATATTATGGCTTAATCACTTTTCTAAACAAGTCTCTCTACTACATTCAATATCAACCCATCAGCTCAGGTGAACTTCCTGGGTAAATCTTTATCATTATCCATGATCAGTGTGGAGATGTTCTTCACTCCTCAAACGTGGCAGGGAAGAGAAGGTTCATGCCCTACATTATTTGCAGGGCATAGCACAAAATCAAAACATGAGGCCTTCTGTTCAAAAAGAGGATAAAGTCACCTGTATTGGTGCTTCAATGTAGTTTATTCTCAACATTAATTCATTAGATATTAAATGCAATAAAAATTACAAATAATATTTTGTCTCAGAATTTTGTACATAATAAAAAGTACTTCATTATGTGATACCTTCACTGATGATAAGATTTCTAGGACTCATTTTTCTCCAAATTTATTTTTATCAAAATTTATAACTTGGAAACTTTATTCTATATTAATGTAGTATAAAGTGTTTTCAGTCACTGGTGATAAATATTAGGGTGGGAATAATTTTTGATTATTTTGAATTTTTTAATATTTAAAAGAATCTTTCTGCTTATGTTACTGGAGCTCTTAGGAATGTGTATAAGTTGTGAAAATGTTGAGCTGAATTTTTGATAAATTATATCAAAATACATATTTTAGTACACATAGACCTGATAATTCTCAAAGAGAATTTTTCTAAAAAGATTGGTTTTTTTAATATATTTCAAACCATCAATTAATACAAATCTATTTCATGTAAGTTTGAATTTAATTTTAAATATAAATTTAATCACTAATATTTTAATGATTCCTCAAATTTATGGTAATTTGTGGACTTTGTGTAAGAAACCCAGGAGTATCTTTGTTTCAAATGAATACTCCTTCATTTTATCACCATACTTTTAATTACAAAAT